ACCCAAAGATGCGAGCAGCATCACGGATCTGTGGCATTGTATGAGGCTTGAGTTTGAGATTGATAAGGAAAGCTTGCCCCTTCCTCAGCCTTTACTAAAACTGTCGATAGAAGAAGTGATTCTTACGGCTGGGCAAGAAGGTGGTGCTCACAACTTCGGAACATTCGCCTGCGAGTCTGGCTCGCAACTGAGCGTGCACTGTCCTTCTGCCAGCTCGGTCTCGGCGCTTGCGATTGGAATTCCACGTTTCTATCATCTCCAGTTGACAATTCTCGTCACTGCGCGGACCTCTGCTGCAGAAAGGTGAGCGGCATGTGCTTCAATTCTTAAACACCATGGCAGGCATGCCTCATGATGTCATGATATGAGACCTGCTTGACATTGGCTTCCGCAGATTGGCTATGCAATTTCATGCTTCGAGAACACCTCTCAGACCCTACAAGCGATTCCATGTCAAACAGGCTTCAACCAGAAGCGAACGCCAGCATGGCTTCGAGAAGCTCAGAGCGACTCAACTCCTTGAGCTGGTATGCGTTGTGCTACAGCGTAGTAGTAGGGCATCACGCGGGTTCGGAAAACTCTCGCATTTGGAGGGCTCAAATGTCTACAGGCATCCCAATGGTCAAGTATTTCCGACAGGGATTGCGATACTCCCGCTGTGACCGGCGAAAACCCCAGGTCGGAAGCAGACTCCCAAACAGCAAACGCCAAAACTCTATCCGTCACTATTCCCTTGAACGACGGCCTGCTGAAGTCAGAGACCTTGCTTCCCTTCTGGAGAGCAAACCGTTCCAGGAGAAAAATCTCCTGCCCGGATCGATGGAGTGCATCAAACCCTGCCCCGAGAGCAAACTCTTGAAACGTTGATTCGGCGCTCACCGTCAGCCAAGAACCCTAAACTCGCCTATACTTCCATGCCTTTCGTGCTCAAGGCCAAATTGCTTGTGTTTCGAGCTTGAGGCTGGGGGTTTATGGCGGTCTGGTGAGCTGCCATCAGAACCAGTCGTAGCGCTCCATCTGAGATGCCGCATTAACATCCACCAACACTGAAAGAGAAAGTAAGGATCGTCTTTCTCGTTGATGTTGGTCGCCGCGGCAACTCGTCAAGGCGCTGGAGTGGCCAACTTCATAATATTGAACTCCTGGATAGAGCGATACAGATGCCGTAAGAGCGTATCTTGAAATGCCTGATTGGGCGCCCACCGCCAGCACAACACCCTAAACCTTTATAACTCCACTAGTTTTGAAGCTTCTGGGGCTTAGGTGGGCCTGGCGAGCTGCATCAGGTGAAATGAATTCGGTCCTGCAAGGTAGGCAATTCTGCTGGTGGCTGCTCGGTCTGAGGTGCCTCATCATCATATTTCCCAACTTCTGTCAACACGGAAAGACAAAACGGAACAGACTTTTCGCAAACCTTGCCGTTGACGTTGGTTTCCATGGCAACTCACGTCGGAATTGGACTGGCCAATTTGAGCAAATCAAGCTGCTTCTGAATGGAGTGAAAAAGTTCGGGACTAAAGCTACCGATCACCTGGTGGCCGAGCAAGGCACTAATCGGTAGCGCGGACAGCTGTCTCTGGATAGAGCGCACATCCGTGGCTGCATGCTGGTCTGCAATGGCCCAGGCGTCTTCAATCACGTCGCGAAGTGCTTGAATAGAAGGAAGCTCACGCGGCAGTCTGGCAGCTTTGATCTCCAAGCAATTGCGCAAGAGGAGCAGCCTGCCGGGAACGTTCACTTGCTGCAACTTCTTCCGAAGACGCTTCTCCGGGCGAAACACGTCGCGATGCTCTGCATGATGGCAGTAGAGACAATCCCAACCAGCTTGACAGTTCCCACGGGCGAAGAGCACGCAAGGCCTGCGGCAAAATTCTGGATGACCTAGGCTGCCGGGCCCGGGAATACGTTCAGCAGCAATCCTTTCTGGAACTGCTGTCTCGGTCACTTCGACAGCGGGGGGTGGAGAAGGTTGCGTCGTAGCTGGAACTGCGGGCAATGGTTGCAAATTTGCTGCGTGCCCCAACACCGCTGCGAGGTACCTGTCTTGGATGCTCTCGACTTCGACCCTCAATCTCGGTGGAACGCTTTTCGAGCGGGGTGGAGAAATCGTGCGCTCCTCCACCGCGATGAAAGTGAACTTGCTCTTCACGACCCAAGCCATCGGGTGCTGACGTGATCGACCGGCAAGAAGCGTGCTGATCCCCGGTGGTGACAAACCGAATTGGTGCTTGAGCCATATGACTTGGGGTTAGGGTTCAATCACAATTGAGGAAGATGTCGCCCTGTCTGTTCGGATCCACAGACGTAAAAGATGAACTCTGCACACGTCTTGTATCCATTCAAAGACCGCAACGAAGGACTGTTTTGATTTCCCGACATTTTCATCCAAGCCGGCCTAAGGAGAACAGCGCTTGCCGGAAAGCTCCATCAATTCAGTCAGGAGCGGTTGTCAACTGGTAAGCATGCGCCCCTGGATGTTACACAGGCACGAAGGACCGGGAAGAATAGTGAGTACCAGTCCGGAGAACTATGTCAAAAAGGTCCTTTTCCTCTATTAAAGATTATACGGACGCTCATCCAGAAAGCCAGCGCAAAGGCAAAGAAACTTCTGAGGCAAGTTAGACTGGCAAGGCACTGCGCAGTGAGGGTTCAGAACCAGCACGCGGTCTTGGAGGTAGTGCATCGTCTGCACGTGGTTTGCTTCAGACAGACGATCGGCATCAGTTTTCACACTCAACACACCATGTCACCATGAAATCGTGCCTGCTGATCCGGTTGTTGCTGCTTCAAACCCGAACCATGACGACCTGAATCATGCAGGAGCTTTCGCATGCACGTTGTGCCCGATCGCAGAAAGCGCATGGCCAAAGAAAAGTCTGTTCACAGTGTACACGAAAGACTGTGGCATTTCAGTGCTTAAGCGACTCTGTCATTACACCATGGCTTCTACCAGTCATTGATGTCTTACGCAGCACAACAAAACAGGTCTTGGCCTGGACTGTGATGGGCTTCCATTCTTGCTCAATGGCGAAAACTCGCCACGCAGATGTCTGGCTTGGAACCTCTCACGTCAGCACAGGGATAGCTTCTGAAACACCCTCAGCTTAAGGCCAACACTTTCTGACTGCACATATCGGGAAATGAATGTACTGTAGCCGGTACCCAGCGAGCCTGATACCCCTAGATTCAGAAAGGCACCTTCGACCGCGGGGGGTCTCAATGCTTTGACTGAATGTATATACTTTCAGAGGATATTGGGCTCTCTGAGTAGCGCAGATCAGGAACGCCCTTTGACGATCTTTGACGGCTTCATGCTACCTCATATTGTCATGATGCTCATTGTTGTTGTCATTGCAATTACTGTTGGCACTGCTGTTCAAAGTTCAACAGAATGCGCACTATTACGGTTAGAATTGTATACCCAACATGTGCGGAAGACTCCCTGTCATCTACAGCGTACGGGACTGTCTGCGCTTGTTGCAGCCAGCAGCCGACTTTGTCGCTCGCGCAATCGTGTCAGCTCTTTCTGCTGGGCCTGGTCCATCTTTACGCTCTCACGACTCGGACAAGCCAGGCGAGGCCATGCAAGGGCAAACAAACCCGATGTGGTATAAACATGTATAAACCAAAGACCAGTCCGCAGTCAGGGTCCTTCTGGCTAAAGCTGTTCCGTGAATCTCTCGTAGCTCCGATGGAGCAAGCAGCATCAGATGACAACAGCACTCGACAACAGCTGAACTACGCTTTCGAGAGAGGCAGACTCACTGCTGCTGGCGTACGCTAAATTTTCAAGGTGGAAGCTCCTCACTATGACCAAAGGGTTTAGAGTTTAGGCTTCTGGCCACAGGGGTTTTACCCACCCGCCCATCTGACAAAGTCGCACCGCACGGTAGTGGTTTAGGGAATACGGGATATGGTTACAAGTCGGATGAACCCAATGAAGATTTGTCCCTCATTTCTCACTTCCCGGACCGGCCGCGAGGAACAAAAGAAAATGCTTATTTGCATGAAACCACGTGCAGGAACCACCGACTGAAGGAAGGAAGCAAACGTGCGTTGACAACCTTCCCTTCCCGGCTACTTTATGCGGGGGCAAGTTTCAAGTAAGTAAACTTCCTGCGCCTGGCCGTGATCTGCGGATTCCTGGATATACAATGACCCTCTGAAAATCCCATCTCCGGTCCTCTGACAACCGCCGACCAACACCACAGTCCTGCTCATCTCAAGCGGCGCTGTTCCAGGCGGCGAAAGTGTTTTCAGCATCTCTGATTATGCTCTGATTACTCTAGTTTCCAATGCAGTCAGTGGTGCAAGCATGTGAATTCGCCCATGCATGCAGCATGTCTATGCATGATAGTCTGCCGGATACGTCCTTCTTCAGCACAGCTTCTACCGATTTCACGGCGCTCATGCAAGATGAGATGCGATCGTCGGTGCAATTTCCTGGTTGAAGAACGGAACACACTTGGACAAATGTTGAGAGGGCGGTCCAAGGGGCAACTTTCGGCATCAACGCCGGCTCACGGACACATCGTAGGTTAAGCTGAACCTCTCTGAGTCGGCCTGGGCATCCACCCGGAGTGGGTTGTGCCAAGAAGCTATGAGAAAGAGTCGCACCATCCAGAATTGCCCTGACTCGCGCAATTCTGCTGCAATCACCTGCAAATTCGGGTTAAGGTATGAATGCATGATTTCGGTCAGCGCGGCTGCCCTGAAAGCATGGCCTCCAAAAATCTCCGCTAGGCGTTGCCGTCCAGGGTCCGGCTCTGTAAGAAGGCCCAGCATGAAGTCCTGCAAATTTCACCATGTCTTTGATCCCCAGTTGTTGCGGTTTGCATGGTACTCAAGAACCTCAAACTACAGCAAATATGTCTGCAGGCGTCCCTCGCGCATTCCAAGCTCACCAACAGATTGTGCTCTGGGTTGGCCAACCTCGGTTATTCGTACGAGGCAGTTAACTTGACGTTGTGTTCATCCGCTTTTTCCGTATTGAACCTTGTTGTTTGGTCGGAGAGTTCTGCATGTATGTATTTATGTTTAATATGTAATACACACACACACACGCACACACACACACACACAAAAACCAGGCACGTCCACATGACCATTCACATAATATTGGCTTCAACGTACATAATATATGTATATATATATACATACATACACCATAATGAACTCCATCTGTGAGTATTTACGGACAAGCAGTCGGAATCCTACCATCCGTATCTACAGCGTCACATGCAAACGCACACATTCCTTACACAGTCTTTTGTTACCTATACTGAGGCCGAGGCATACGACGGGAAAAGCACGCGACGTCCAACATGTAACGCGCACACACACACACACAAACCCATATATATATATAACCACACATCACATACAGCATACATATATAGTGGATTGCACGCAACCTGTTTCGTCAGCACAAGCACACTGGAATCGACAAAACAAAGGCAGCCTGAGGTGGAAGCTTGACCGTGCTGCCACGAGCAGTGTTCACTTGCCGCCATGCAACCTGTAAATCTTCTGCCGCTCAATGGCGCACTCAACTGTCTATAGTATGAAATGGCATGTGGTTCACTTGCGACGCTTGCTGACACACATACAGTTAACTGGCGTTGACACCACACCGCCGGTCGCGCCTCCATCGTTTGCAATATGTGATCAATGCCTTCCGACGTCCTGCTGACGTGCAAACGTGAACATCACAGAAAGCCACCTTGCCCCCAAGGCTGGGGGCATGACAACAAGGCCTATGCCAGCCTACGCAGAGACCCTGCCTTGGTGGATCCTCAAGCCCAGCATCGCGGCGTATGAGAAGGCTCAACCTGGGAGCCCTGGGTTCGCAGGAACCACGGCCAAGGCTGCTCAAACCTGGGCGAATGAAGGACAATAAATAGGGATGCTTGCACAGAGTCTCCAAGGTACTTAGAACACCTTAACGATGTCAGCTGTTAGCTAGCTGTTGAGGCACTGGCTGTTTGAACGAGCGCCGCATTTGCTTTTCGGCACAGCATTGCCGTGCCACGTTGCCGGCTCCAGCATCCAAGCGCTACATGGCAACGGCAACAACAGCCGCCGACGAAGGGGCAAATGCCCCAACTAAAACTGCCTACGCAGTTTTGGAAACCATGTTTCAGCTCTCGCAGCCGAAATTCCGAAAGCGATCATGAGGTCACGCATGTTGTCCCTCAGAAGACAATGCCTCAACACGTCGAACATATTTTTCGAGCCTGTGCAAAGCTGAACTTGACACAGCCAGTACCTATCTGTCTGCGATCTCGTCTCTCGCTCGGGCTATGCTTTTCTTAGTCGCCCTTTCTCATCCCCCTTTTCTTTCGGTATCTCTCGATGTCTCTGCTTAGTTGCTATCTACTTCCCATCGCGCCCTCTCCAGAAAGGCAACTTACTCCTCCTGAACCCTCTTCCCATCAAAAAATGCCGCAGGTCAAGCTTTCAGCCATGCGATCACATGCAGTATGCCAACATGTACAGTTCCACATCAACTTCTGAGTTTCAGACCGGAAACCCACCCACTCGCACCAGCACACACGCAGCTCTTCCGCATCGTAGATGATTAGATGGCCTCATAAGAGTTCCTGACCGTCTTTTAGCCAAACAACGGAGTCCGAAGCAATGCACACCTTCGTTTCTCCATGTGCTCGGCATCATGCGTCAATCTAATCCGTCCTCATCTTCATCGTCATCTTCATCTTCATCGCCGAAAGAATCGAAGGCCCAATTGAAGGTCTTCAGGGCAGCACCAACATTGCGACCGTTAGTGTACACAACCTCATATGCGTTTTGGCATTTCGAGTCGAGTGCACGAGCTGCGGTTGCTATACCAATCGTTCTCCGACATGGTGCATCCGTGGTAGCGTATGCAAACTCTTCCTCGGGCAGGTTGACATCCGTAACCGTCAGCTGAATCTCCTCATATGCCGCAATGGGAAGACAAGGAGTCGCCGAGCGGTACATCTGAACTCCAAAGGCAGAGTAGGAATACACATATTTTCTCCATGCCGGCTTTGCAACCTGCCCGAAGTCACAATAACTCTTGCTATCTGCGGTCGTCCAAATCTCTTGCCCAAAGACGATTTTATAGCAGGCGTCCTGATGAGAGAAAGACTTCTCACAGCCAACTAATCGGTCTGCATTAAAACTGGCCCGGGATGATATCTGCTGAAACTTGAAAACCCACCAGGATGGTAATGTCTTCCATTTTGCCTTGAGCTCGTCTGTAGTTCTATCAAAGAAATGGAAGCCGACGTGTTCATCAAGCTCGTCCAGATCGCCTTCGTCTTCGGGCTCGTCTAAGTATCGGCGAAATCCCCACCTCATGCGCTCCGAGGCAAATTTCTTTTGCAAAGATAAGTAGACGCCGTCCGATTGCCATGTCTTCTTGCCGTTCTGACCTTGTCTGCGCGCCCGGTGACGACAACAAACCCAGAACAGGCAGATTCAAGTTCAGTAGGAGTGCACTGCGAACCCGCCAATCTAAATCGACATAAGACTCGACCGAAGCACAAGCAGACCTACTCAAAACAGCGAGCTACGGTAGCACAGCCTCCTCAACAACCTGCGGGCCGTTCGGTCAAGGGTGCAAAACTATTCGGAAGCCCGAAAAACACAGAATGCAGCAAGGGCTTCACGGGTGTGCTGAGCTCAAGGCCGGGCTCAAGTGTGAATGAGCCGTCATCGAAGAATTTCACCGTTTCCGGCATCCGATCGACATGCTGCCACACGAAGGTTGCAGGCTCCGCTGAATTTCTGCAGGACTTTGGAAGTTGTTCGCCATCTGGGATATCGCCACAGGCACTCGAAAGCTTGTAGGTGCAGGTCTTTGATAAAACCGTGATGCTTGCAGTGTCCCAGCTGATGAGATCGTATCCACAGCGGTGACCTCGAAATGTCACAATTTCATATTCATCAGGTAGTGAAACATTTCCGCAGGCATATCGCGAAGCTTGAGGGCTGGTCACCACGTATTCAATTTGCGAGGAACAACGTGGTCGAGCAGCATGTTTTGAACAGTGAGTGGGAAGCTTTAACCCGCGCAACATGCGAATCGTATGAGCGGTTGTGTGGCAATCCGCCTCAGATCCGGACCATCTCCAACTGCAATTGCCATGCGGCCTACTTTCATCCGCGATCCACTGGATAGCACCGGTTGTTTGGTTACATGTGCTACCTCGAACCGTGAAGCCTTGACCAGCCCTGCAAATCTTTCCATGCAAGTCCTCGACATCTACCACGGAAGTTGTGACATGGACAATGTCCTCGGAACAGACCGGCAGAGGTCTGCAGTCTCCAGCGGCAGATTCTTTGAACCATGTGATGTTACCAAAAAAACCCTCTGCACAGCTGCATGACGGGCCAGGTGCAAAGTCCGATTGCGAGACTCGGCAACGCACCGCGTCACAAGAGCCGTCTGGATGGCGGCCCCGCCATGTAACTTTACCGCGAAATCCGTTTCCACACTTACAAGCAAGTCCCGGCTGCCGGTTTGAATTGGGAACCACGCAGGGTGCAGGGCTGCATGACCCCTGAGGCCTCGCGCCAGCCCACGTGATTGTTCCCATGAAGCCGCTCTTGCAACCGCAGCCGTGACCATCTTGCCCGTTTGAATTCTCAACGGTGCACAGGGCCGGTCTGCAATCTAGCTCATACGCATCCTCCCACTCATTTAGCCTCCGCTTTCCTACGAAGCCGTCTAAACAATCACATTCCGGGCCAACTTTCGAGTTTGAGTTGACACCGGTACACGGCATGGGTTTGCAGGTGGCCATTGGCATCGATCCCTTCCATGCGAAGATGCCTGCAAAGCCGTCTAAGCATCGGCAATCGGGTCCTGGGATTTTGTCTGAATTCTCAACCATGCAAGGAGCTGGGAAACAGCTTCCGCTGGCAACAGAGCCTTGCCAGCTGATATTGCCTAGAAACCCGTCACGACATGCGCAAGCCGTGCCGCGCTTGCCGTTCGTGTTGGCAATCTTGTTGCAGAAAGCTGGCTTGCAGGATCCTTGCGGTGCCGAGCCTTGCCAAGTAATGCTACCAGCATAGCCATCTAGGCACACACACTTCGGCCCGTTCGCACGGTTTGAATTCTTTATCGTGCATGCCGCAGGCTCGCATGTGCCCTTAGCAGTTGAGAGCTCCCAGTCAATGGTACCGTCATACCCGTCTTTACACTTGCACTTATGGCCTGGCATCCGGTTCGAGTTCGTAATGTTGCAAGGTGCCGGTGCACATCGCCCCGTAGCTTCTGAACCATTCCAGTGGATGACCCCTTCCAGCCCATGCTCGCAACGGCAATTCAATCCCTGTCCGCTGGAATTAGCAACATTGCAGGGCGCAGGGTTGCAACTGCCTTTAGCCAAAGTTCCGCTCCAAAGTATGGCGCCGGCGAAGCCATCCTCGCATCTACACTTGTCGCCGGGCGCCTTGTTCGAATTGACAACCCCGCATGGAACGGGTTGGCACGAGCCCGTGGGAGTTGCACCCGACCACTCCACGCTTCCCTCGAAGCCGCTTCGACATTTGCAATCCAAACCAGCATCGCGAGTGGAGTTCTGGATATTGCACGGTGCCGGTTGACACGTCCCTTGCAGTGTCTGCCCTTCCCACACGATGTTTCCGGCAAATCCGTCACTGCATTCGCACTCCTCGCCTGCTCTCCCGGTCGAGTTTTCTATTGCGCATATAGCAGGAGAACAAACTCCCCGGGGTGTGGAACCATTCCAATAGAGACTTCCTGCGAATCGATCACGGCAGCGGCACTTCCAGCCGTCCTCCATGTTGGAATGCGTGATATTACATGGTGCAGGGATGCAGTTGCCTCTGAAGTCTTTTCCGTCCCAGGAGATGTCCCCATAGTATCCATCTCTACAATCACACTCAGATCCTGCTTGACGATTGGAATGTTCAACTGCACACGGTGCCGGGCTGCAGGTATCAATCAAGCTCCCGTCGGCGAATGTAGACACGTTTAGGCCTCCCCTGTACCCGTCGCGGCATTTGCAGCCAAGCTCCGAGCAGTCAGAGAGGTGATGATCGGTACTCTGTTCAACTCGCAGCCGTAATTTGGTCGTGGCTTGGCTGGCGTGTCCTGGAAGGGATGGTCTAGTTCTAGGATTCTAGGCGTCATTCGGGCGGCTTGCCGAAGACGTACGTGCAAGTCTACAACCACCTATTGCCAGTCAACAAAGTTGACAGCTGGCCTGAAACAATCAATGTGCAATTGGTGGGGTTCGCCCCAAATTCAAGAACTGCTGGGTTGTCGTCGAAGCGCATCAATGAATGCTCGAAGGAATGGTTGCTGCAGCTTGCGCCAGATGCTCCGCAACACAGGCGGACATTCCTGAGCAGCGCGCGACTGCAGGGATAGTTAAGCATTTCTGGCTGCTTGTCAGCAGCAATCTTACAAGTAGCCGCGCGGAGACCATTGCTTGAGGTGGAAGGTTGCAGCTAATTGATTACAATGCACCGTCGAAACCTCTACTCTTTGAGGCAAGATACGAGGCCTGCTCAAATTTCGGCTTGACGCGCAATGTCCCCGAATCCGAGTCCACGAGCACCAGGTAGTCAGTGCGCTCTGAAAGTCGATCGAATCGTGGCAAAAGAATTGCTGCGAACGGTTTCCTCCGCAGCGGGCAGCAGAGGAGCGCATTTGCACGTGCAAGTGTTGTCGATGCAAGAATCGCTATGAGGCTTCTCGGTTTGAAGTTGTTTGGGAAAAGTTGGATCGATCTATGGACCGATCCGTGGACATGGGGCATGGTCGGACCAATTTGATTGTCTACTGGTTTGGCCCTGGACACGGTCTCTCACATAGAGCACGATTGCCTTATATCAGTATGCCAACGCCTCTCTCTTTTGGTCCATGCTGGAACTCGACAGGATTTGTCAAAGCCTGCTAATCATATAAACTGTAAACACGATGACTGCACGCAAGCTCTGCATTCTCAACCGCCACCAGCTGGTTTATGGCCGGGAGTCACATCGACAATCTCGGGCTTGGCGAATAAACGCTCCTGAGCGGCTTCCGGAATTCTCTCGGGAGGCTACATCTAAAAACTGCTTCCGAAAGGTGAGGGCTTATGTAGAGGGGAAGCTGCCTCAAACTTGAGGGGTCGAGTGGGACATCATCATTGAAACGGCTATTCTTCTGATATTGGCCCGACCTAGCCAAGCTTTTCTGAACAAGTCGAGGGCGCCGCCATGAGGTGGAAGGCGCCAGGCAAAGCACCAAGGAAAAGCAACAAGCCAACCTTTGTCGCCGGTTGTAAGACCACGGACTCAGAGGGGATTGGACCAAACTGCACTTTGCGCCAGGTTGGGGCCGGCAGCCAGGGACCCAGGGATTGACCGGGTAACTCCAAAAGGGAAATTATGGTGACCACGGTGGTGCAAATGAAGCCGGGACACCACATGTAAAAGTGGCGCGTGCCGCTGGGTAGGAAAGAAGGCACGGCGACTGCCTAGTCGAACGAACAGAGCCAGGTCCTGAAGGATTCAGCCACAGTTCGAGCATTAGCCCACTCTTCCGGGAACCGTCTCGCAGAGCACCATCTCAAGACTCTGCAACAAGATAACTCAACCATTGAACTGCCGACATCCGTCTGTCCTCCCCTGCTATGTAGCCAAGACCATCTGCCAGGAACTTTCGCAAGCCGTTACTTCGTCCCTCCTCGTTGTCGCCACAGCACTGCACCAAGAAATCCTGGGAAATGGTTTGTGAAGACATGAGGACATTGGTGTCAAATATGTAGACTCTGTTTATTCAACTTATATCCTTGCGCATCTTGCTGGTCTCCCGCCCGGTGTGCGACTGCAAGGCCACTACACAAAATCGACAAGACAGGTAGCAGGAGCGTCACGTCAAAGGACTGCTAGTGTTTCAACATGTTCGCGAATGATGCACGCAACTTTCGTAAGGTCTTCGAATCTAGGAGCGGCTACTGCTGCATGCGACAACTCAGAAAGCTTCGCTCATCCGTTGCCTTCGAGATCCAACAAGATTTCTTTGCGTAGCCTGAAAACATAGCTATCAGGAAGTGAACTGCACAATGTCCTTCAGGTCAGTTTCCTGCTGTCGCACCCCGCACGTCGTATGAGCCTGCACCTGCTACGAACCCGGAGGTCGCTGCTTTCAAAGCATCCGTTGCACTGGCTTGAAATGAAGACATGCTGGTCAGCACACCACCTACTGTACTGATGGCCTTGGGCGACTCGCACAAGCTGCGCAGGTTCAAGAAGTAGAGCAGGACTGTCGTGCCGCTGAAGACCTTTACAAGGCTGAACCCATGGTTGCACTCGCATGCTCACGAGGAGCAGTATTGTCTACCTCCAACAGCGAGTCTTAGACAGGGCCGCAGCTCTCTCACATAGCAGCAACCTGTCCACTCTGGAGTCCTTCGCAGACTTTCGGGCCGCGCTCAGACTGCTTAGCTAATACGAGTGCATGCAACGCTGGCTTCGTCAAACTCCTTTCAGTTTCCACATGTGTATTTGCTGCTTCGCAGAGACGGCACCGATCAAAGGCCCTTGTGCTTAGACACCGAGCTCCTCGACACTTGGCATCTAGCGTTTGCACGGACTCCACCTACAAAAAGGAAGCCGAGTTTAAAGCTGCAGCAACATTGCGAGGTATTCAGGCTGCTTCATTTACTGCTTGCTTCCATCCCTGAGGGAGGTCAACGGAAATCCCATCCAGCCAAAGGAGTGAAACCCACATGACATGAACCCTGTCCTTCTTGCTCGCTTCCACGACGATGACACTCAGGTACAGAACCAGCAGCAGCGCCGTCAATATGATCAGAAGCACACCGAGGCCTTCAAACAGGCTTGCAATTAGTCTGATCAAACGCAAATGGGCAGACAAAACTACCGACGATAAGTTTATCGACAACCCCAGATCCCAAACAGCCAGAATGCAAAGTCAAAGCATGCAGGTAGCCGACGCATCGCGATCGCCTGCTCATTTACTTTTCCTGCAGCCATGGCCCCTAGAAGCGAACAAAGCAGTCCGGCCTGTGCGCTCGATGCGGCCAGGCTTTAGCACCAGTCGAAGACCGCTGCTTCGACCGCTGTCCTCATGGGTACCGCACAGAACCGGATAAAATATCAGGGAAAAGCGCTGGGCGCCGTAAGGTGCAAGACTGCTCATCAGATCACAAGCAAGGAAAAATCGGACCCTTTCACTCGAAACACTGCGAGACCGGAGGCTGTAGCTAGCAGATTATGCACTTGGTGCATTCGGTCATGCACGGAAATAAGAATAAGTGCTAGACTGCAAGATGCAATTTGGCCAGGCGAGCAGCCATTGCTAAGCGTCGCATGTAGTCCACACCCAAGAACCTCCGACAAGGTAAATCGTCCGAATTCACACATCCGCTGCAGATTGAGGTTGAGAGAGGTTGCAAATTCTGGATAGTTGAGGCTGAATACACGCTGAAATGCCCGCGTGCGTGACTCGTGCTTGTGATGCTTGCGGTTCGCAGGAACTCCATGACTTGAGTGCCACACATGAACCAAACCCTGATGCTTTTCCTGGTAGGTCTGAGGACTGCGCACAAGGCTTGCAAGAATGGCAATGATCGACGTGGCCATGCTCGCATACCTTGCAGCGCTTCGGCAACAACTCTCGTCTGCGATCGTCTGCATCAACTCAAGGAGAAAATGTCAGTCGCTGCTCACGAAGCTGACAGCCAGGACACAGCAAGCAATCAGCCAGCAAACCGGACCATGTCCAAGGAGTCTGGGGGTGGCTGCAGGACACAATCCTCGTTTGAGGCCGTGCATTCTGGTCACAGGGACCCTTCGTCAAAGCGGTGAAATCTCCGTGCGATACACACGGAAACTTACTGTTTATACGTTACAATGACTATGACATGACTGTTGCTATGACTGTACAAGGGAGGGAACAGGGGGCTTGGAAAGAGAGGGCGGGTTGGGGGGAGAGGGTGTGGCTAGCAACACAGAAAGCAAGGGCAAGGCACATTCATGCTTCGCTTGAAATGAAGTAGTTAAACCCAGGTCTGGACGACAAGGTGTCCAAGCTTGAGCTCATCCCCCATTGGGTCTTCAGGTATTGCAGTCCCCCCACCTGGCCACCACGGTCTTCTGGAAGCCCACGAAGCCGACGATTCCAGCTGCATGGCTGGACAAGGCCCTGGCCAAAAGCAAAGCATCGTTCTGGACAAACTGAGCACCCGAATCTCTCGCAACTTGCCAGCTGCAGTTGGAGACTAGTGAATAGCCAAGTTTCGCGAAGAGTACGCTGTACCATGGAATCGGCTTATGCTTGCTTTCTCTGGAACCTCAGACACCGGAATCAACTGAGAGTCGAAACTTGAATGAGCATACAAGCTGCTGGCCTTCCAAGTCAAGTTGATCTCGCTGCGCACAGCGGGCGCAACTGCACTCAAATTCCCAGCCTACTTTCCTGAGGTCAAGCCGAGTCACCTCTGTTCGTTCCCACGATTTCCGCAGGCCTCCAAAAAACCTGGAGTGGCGTGAGAAACACCACAGGCCCGGTTGAAAACGAAGGGCAGCCCAGGTACAATCGCAAGGGCCACAGCCGAGACCAAAGTGAACCAAATGGAATCCAGCTTCCTCGGTGCTACTTGAGACCAGGCTTGGTGCTAGCGGAATGGGTGCAGGAATGTCCCTACGGCAGAAGATTCTGTCAGGTCCATGCATGTGTCCACACAGGATTTTCCTGCGACCTGACCCAGGATGCGATAGTCTCGGGATTTCTTTTGTGTTACCGTACAAGTATGGGAAACTCTGCTCCGGACAGCAGCTGCACTCACCTCATTGTCATCGTAAGCGCCGAAGAAGGGCATTGAAAAATACCAGCAGTCTCAGACAAATTTAGCTGTTGGGCCAAGGCATGGCCACTGTGTAACACGAAGTTCCCATCAAGCTTGAAAAAACTTGATGTAATCGAACTCGACCGGCATTCACCCTACTAAAATACTACCAGATACCACCAGCAACCGCAAATGGCATAGCGCACAGCGGCAAGCGTCGGAAAAACAGTAACATCCAACGAAAACAACAAAGCCAAGGCACCAAAGCACACCAGATGCTTGTGCGAACAGATCGCCCCAGCGAGCAGCACCATTTGCACTGTTCTCGTCCTGCGCCATGGCAAACACCGAACCAGTGCACAATGCAAAGCTCCATATTTCAGGACTCAAGTGTCCGGTCTGTGTTTAGCGTGCAGCAGCTTACTGCGGATGTTGCTGCAAACCAAGCCCAGCTACAGTAGGGAAAGCGACCAAGAACGATGACACAACACAAGTCAAGCACAGGATCACGGAGCCGGAGCTCCGATGCTAACTGCGACAAAATACCACGAAAAACCTCTCGATGGCGACACTAGCACATCCGCACAGTACATAGGCAGATGTGGACGTAATTAAACGTTCTTCAACATTTGCTGAAGATCTCAGGAAATTCCTAAATGATCCCAAGGCAGTGCCACAAATGCAAACTGCTCACATCCATGCTGTCGACTGTGCGCGTAGATTCCGTAGATCCTGATCTAGAGAAAATTCCACGGACCGTGCTGCATGGGCAAGCGGAGCGACCGCGGCCGGAGCCTCGGACTCGGTGGTTTCGTACTTTACGGCCTTATCCTCATGGCCCAGGGTCGACCAAGGGCTCTCACATGCTCTCACATCTAATTCAGCCGCTAAGGTTGTGTGATAGTTGGTTAAGCCTTACTGCCAACGGATCACAACCATATCAACGGTGCATGCAGAACAAAGGGGTAACAAGGGCAAAACCTGAATTCCGCATGACTGCGCACTGACACCTGAAGCTTGCGCAAGTAAGCCATTCCAGGACTCCAGCACTCCTCCGTTTTTGGAAATTGCAACTAGGAGACCAGGAGGCTATCCAGAAGCATCGCAGAAAAGGCACCGCATGCTTTGGTGACCTTCACATCTCGACAGCCGCATCTCTACAATACGAAACAGGAAAGGACACGTTGCTAACTCAAGCCGAAGGACACTGACCCGTGGTGCCACAGGGCGATGACATGTCAAGGAAAATTCGTGAGCGACTGGCACAATCTGTTTGAGTGTTTACAGATGAGGGACCTGGGAGCACAGAACCTGAAATGATCAGTTTGGTCGCGACAATCCAAACTCTTAACGCAACAACCTAACCTCTGGTACGACACGCCAATGGAGCGAATCGAGTCAAACAACGGGTTGGCTGCAGCCAATACGGCCTGTGGACAGCACGGATGCGGCGGATCTGCTTTCTTGCAGGGTGTCAGTGTCGAATATCCACAACAACGCCTTGAAGCAAGATGTTGACAACCTTTGAGATGAATCATCGGATTGCCGCATCTGGGAGGAAGCAGGAATTTTGAATGCTTATGATCCTATCACTGAGCGGCAAAACTCGCAGCCGCATGCGGCTGACAATGGCTCTGGCATGATGCTGCCCTCTTAGGGGTGCCGTCGTCTTCCCTGATATGGGAGATCCTGGACTCCCAGAACCCCCAGTATCTTTTGGCAGCACCAAAAACAACGAATGAGGTCCTCGTACGAACTTGTCTAAACCCCATGCCCTATTGCGATAAAACCTTAGAACCCAGAATGTTAGGACCCATTGTATCTCGGATGCAAGTATTTATTTGTACTACAGTGGGTACATGGAGGATCCAGGCAAAAACTGCAATGTATTCTCGCAGCTGCCCACTCGCAACCGGACATTCGACCGCTTTTCTCGCACAGGAACGCTTGAACAGTCTTGGAAAAGCATGGCCTTGTGCGGAACACTTTCAGTCAGATTGCTTCTTGACGCCGATTGCAGGAAGGTTCTCGTCGCTTGGCCACTTCCATGCGTCCGAGGGAGATGAACGATCTATCGCATGTTGCGCCACCTGCATAGCTAAAGCGACAATGTTGTCGTGGTCCTGGACTGCTCCGTTAACGATATCCATCACGCTTCTTCACTGTACGGTCCATCAAAAGAAACAACGCAAGACAGAACGCATCTTCCAAAATGATCTAGGGTCGTCAAGTCCGTCGATAAGCTTCTGGGGAATGCCTTTGAGGCCAACATGCCCCCCCAGGAAAGCACCGACGAGGCTGGTGCGCATGGTGTTCTGTCCTGGGAAGCTTTGAGTTCCGCAGGTTTAAAAAGGCAGCGCAGGCAATTTCCGCAAGAATCTCCCCCCAAAGTTAAACGCACCCCTCCCACCCCAATGTCAAACATGAGCAACTTCAATTAATAGTTAGGATTAGGGGTGCGGCATGTCTAAAATGGAGGTACCAGCAGCAGCAGCATTGGGAATAGTAGTTGGTGAATACGCCCAAGCCAGAGACCCTAAATCCTAAAACCCTCAGTGCTAGACCTTAAACCCGAAACCTTACCCCCTAAGCTTTCGACACTACACCGCCAAACCCGAAGCCCTGAGACCTACACCTCAACCTTTGCAGCCCGAAACATCAGGCCTCCGCCGTTCAGGCTACAGAGGACGGCCTTCTCGAAGTCGTCCGGGTAACGCGCGGCGCAGTAATAGGCCGACCCCAAGACGCCATAGAAGGCCTCAGGATGCCAGGAGCTTTAGGATTCGACACGGACTAATGTAGGGGTCTTAATGATTACCGTCTATATTTTTCTGGTTTCTTGCTATAACTACGGCATAATGGGACCCAAAACCCATTCAACAACACCGAAACTCTAAACCCTGAACCCAATATCCCATCAACCCTAAACGGCCAAACCCCAAACCCTAGACCCCAAAAGCTCCACCCTAGACCTCTCTCTCAACCACCCCGAACCTCAAACCCACTTCCAAGTTACACAAAACTTGCCGTAGAGCTCCACACCGCGGTGGGGAGGCTCGATGCCTTCACCATCAAGAGCTTGACTCTCCACATAAACCTCTTACGAAATTAATCCTCCCACCGTCGTAATATGAGAATTGTAGTATGCCATGGTGTGAAAATTGAATATTGGGGGCCGACCCTCGTTTTGCTAGGGGCTCACTTGGCATTTGCATGTAAGCTTCCACTTTGGCTTCCAGGTTTCGCGTGTTTGGGTTGGATTCGGGTCACGGGGTCAGGGCTTTTTCGGTCGAAGGTGGGGGAGTTTCAGGCGTCTGACGCCCAGACAGATGCCTGTTGCACAATTCTGGACGCCCTCGGCGAGCATCCCGTACCAAAGCAGGGAGTCCTTGCTTGTCCCCAAACGGGAGGAAAACACGCATGGCTATCTCAGACACATACTCCTCAAAATGTCATTGGCTACGTGAAGAAATCAAGAACAGGGTGGTTCCCTAAATTCGGGTCCCCTTTGAGGTCCCCACTATAGTACGGCACCCTTATAAAAAGGAACCTTAAAGCGACCCTAGTTTCGACAGCTGCCCAAACAGGAAAGAAGGCACGCCCGACCATGGGCTTCCGGATGCAAGGCTTACACCAGGGACGTGGGGCAGCTCAGTCTTCTGAGCTTCCAGCACGTGACAAAGGACAGATACCCCAGCTTGTTTCATATAGACCCCTATCAGGAACTGCTACCTTGACACCCCTGTCAGGGTTCAAGGCACGACGAAAGGAACTCATTATAGCCAAACTAATCTAGCCCGCGGATCTAGGGTATAGGATGTCCTTCCGCATACTAACGTTGGTGGTCCTCAAATCTCGCAACATAGGGTTCAGGGTTTAGGGCATAGGGCGGCATAGGGCATAACGGCCTGGCCGAGGATCAGGTTCTGTGTAGTCGCCGTAATCGTCATCATGGTCTTTGTCGCTGTGGACGGATGAAAAGGGCAATGGGTCACCAGCTTGTGTGTACATTCTCCTTGGTCAAAGGGTGCCGAGACCGAAGAAAAGACCTTCGGTACCACAGTTTGACTGTTGGACAAGTGGCAAAGTTGAGGTGTATTTACTTGCAAGGAAAGTTTCCATGAGAGCCCTTTGTCCAAGGGCAAGCCCTGAATGATCCCAGCTAGCAGGACGGCAAAGGCCACGGAGTGCGCCTGCACGCTACTATCGCCAGTGAAAGCCTTCGAGTGCGCTTGCACTTGGCAGCACATAGCCTTAATTGCCGTGGACCACGTGGCAACGAAATGCTGGTGTCAGCTGCGACCGGAAGGCTCATACGTGCTCGTCGGGATAAGTTCTGGCAAGCAGCGCGTGGGCTGAGGAAGTAAGACGAGGCAATCAGAGCTCCCCGAACGATGGTATCCGGTGTATCACTGCGCGGGAGCACGCATTCCGCCCATGGCTTGTTGTGCACGACGCGCGCTTTGTAGAAATCGCAGATCGTCTTGTCCTGAACTTCCAAATCTGATTCATTCTGTTAGCTTCAGTGCGCGTTGATTGAACCCCAGCTTTTCAAGTTAATGCTGATAGTGTTGCCTGCAACCATGTGCTCTGGTGGTGGTGGTGGTGGTGGTGGTGGTGGTGGTGGTGGTGGTGGGCGGGGGGGTGGTGGTTGGGTTGAGAGGGGGTGTGGGTGGCTATAGCAGAGTGACGCTCCTCATAAAGGAGCAGGAGGGGCTCCTGTTGCTATGCTCCACCTCCTGCTATTTACTGTTGGGAAGATCTCTTCAATGCTGTCCTTGGCGTCCCCGTCTTACCATAGGCAGCAAAGTGTCGGTCCAGCCGTACTTGCCACCCTGGCGCGTCCCGTCCATCGTGTCCTCACGCAGGATCTCTTTCTCAAAGCGATCGTGGAAATCCTCTTGGTCCAGGCAGCCCTTACCTTGGACCAAGGACACGCGTGCGAACTGTGGCGGCTGTACGCAGAGAAGCAAGCAAAAGACCTGGGCTTGATTGCTCTCGACGCGGAGCGCAACTTGTCCGGAAAAGATCTCAAGATCCCTCCTACAAAAAGTGTGCCATGATCAATGGACTGCAAAAAAGTGTTCCTGAACGACCACGGTGCTGGCAAGGCTCTGCAGCAGCAGCTTTGTTACCTGTGGCATGCGGGCTTGGAGAATCGGAGCCGTCTGGCCGTTTGCATGGCTTGTTTGAGGCTACTCCGCCGAGTCGCCAGGATTGTGCAGAGGCTGTACTATGTGGATTTTCTAGCAAGATCACACACATGAGAGATCATGAGAGGGTCAGCCTTTATTCGGCCCTCCAAAGCAAAGCTGCCGAAGATCTGCCTGTAAGGCCGAAGCAATACAAAGGCAACCCCGATGGTCAGGGTCTTCAGCCAGGACACCTCACCTTGCTGTTCAAGCTGCCCTGCTTTCAATTGCCCTTTGCCCGGGGCGTCGCTGGTCCCTGAGCACGCAAGCTCATCCAAAAGGCTTGGACTATATTTTGAACGAAAGTTCCACAAAGGGTAAAAATGGCTGAAGGATTTCAAAGTTTGAGGCGGTGTGCGGCCCTGCAAAGGTTAAGCGGCCCTGCATCCTTTAAGCTACCGCCCTCCCAGTAGAACAATCTCGTTCCAAAAAACCTTTCCAGTGTTGTACATTGTACAATTACATCTGCCGAATATTCAATATATCGGATGGAGGCTTTCAATTATTGGAAGGGACGGAAGATTGCAAACGTCCGGCCTGAGTGGAAAGAGCCGGGCAAAGGATCCAGGTAGCCGGTTACAAAGCCCCGGTCCTCCAAGGAGCGGTGCTGAGTCCAATTAAACTTGAAAATAGAAATTGTGGATTTGAGGATGAAACATCGTAAGGTGTAGGAATAATTTAAGATTCAAGGATTCAAGGATCTAAAGGGTTCCCGGCAGTTTAAGTTCAAGTTGACGGTGTCAGTTTTTTTATGTGTGCCTCGGCGCTCACACTCGGACAATCCAGGCGAGGCATGTGGTCGTCGGCCGGCTGGTGTGAAACTGAGTTGCCTGCGAGAAGTGGAACACTGAAGATAAAACAGCCTATAGTCGGCAAAACCTGCTGAAGGTTTACAGCCTCAGGTGCTGAGAAATCGAAGTTTATGTGACAGCCTCACTGAATGACTATGTTCCCCAAAAGGAAAACACCCTTCTATCGTCCCGTAGAAGGTTCAGTGTGTGCATTTACGGTTGCAAGATGTCTCCCGGCATCCTGGCATTATTTCATAAAAAGCTATTCTTAAGAGTTGCTTTTTTGGGATCCCCTCTGGCTATGGAGGAAAATGTCGCTTAACTGACCTCATGATTTTTTTTTCGAACTTCATCTGCGACTTCGTGTGCACGCAGTACGCATGACTTGAGTTCTCGACGTAAGGAACCCTTGCTGCTCTTTTGGGATTGTGCTTCATGGTGAAGACCCCAAAGACTCATACATCGAGATTTTCGTGGGGTCTTAAAGTCCTAAAGCCCTGGATGGTTGAATCGCGGGACACAGGCTCCTTCTCCAGCTTGTCCAAATCATATTGCCAATGCACACCAACCTCGGTTGACTCAGGACCCAGACCCCACAATGCCATGAAGTTCCTTCTTTTTTGAAAGGTACCCGATGTTCTGAAGTCTTGCTCCCAACCCCGAAATTGACTAGCCTACAAAATATCGCATTGCGGGGTCTCGGGAGAGCCTGCAACCAATACTGTAACGCTGACGGCTGCAAGTACTGGAACGCTTACGCTTATCAACCTTCACGTCTAGATGCAATCGAAGCTGCCACAGAACAACACGGAATCCAGTAGGTGGTCCCCGGAAAAATGACCGACATAGCAGGACCCCCATATCATTGTCATCATTCATCATCCTTTGCAGTCACTTGGAAGTTCAACCGAACCCTCAGGCCCCAAATGCATCATTGTTGAATTACAATCACAATTGCTTCTGCCCTTCAAGAAGCAGTGCATTCCTTGTAGTTCGGATTTTTATTCCTGGCACCGGTGTGTACTAAACCCCACCCCGAAGCCGAATTGGAGAAGAACTGGGCCGGGCAACACCCAAGGCATCCCCGATGAAAACTCCGAGAATGGCTCCAGCGGCGCGATCCACAAGAACTTTGGGATCTATCTCCATCCAAAAGAAGCAACACCTTTGATGGGAACTGGGTTTGAGCCCAAGCTTAGGCCACGAGAAAACATGTCAAGGCTGTTACGGGATGTCTAGCCGACTCGCAAATTCGAAACTTGTCAATGATATGGGGGAAAGCAGCGCATGCTTCCATCAGTGATGTGCAGCTTGGGAGGGCAACGAGACCCCCAAAAAACTCAGACCCTCAAGCGACCTCGAGCCCCCGGAGCCACACCAAGAGAAAGAATCTGCGAAGCTCATCTTCGCCAACATAAGCCTGACATCACAACCGTTAACACATGGCCCAAACGCAGGAACACTTTCGCAAACATCACCGAGCTTTGCGGCATCAGCTTGCATGACCGGCGTCATGCCAGGAGCAAATGCGTGCTGCCGCTCGCTCGAAGGGGCTAGCTGCGGGGAGCACGCTATAATTTGCGCGCAGGCCGAGCGATGGTCCCCGCACACATCCAAAGAGTCCTCCACAGGGCCGGGGCAGCGCTTGAGGGCGAGCGGGAGCGAGTCGGCGCAGCAGCGTGACTCGGTGTTCCGCGCGCGGCACTTGGGTGTAAGCGCTCGTTGGGAAGGCCTCGCCGCATCGCCAGCCGGTGACAGCACCAGCGCCCGAGACGTTGTGGCCCAGGATGGCGCTGAAGCCCTCTGAGCGCAAGGAGCGGGCAGTTTGCTCCGCGGCTCGCGTGCTGGGGAGGGAGTGCCGATCGCCGTTGCATCCAGCTGCGGGCGGAGGAGGGCGGCGAGGCACCAATTAACCGGGCCCGTTTAATTGGTGTTCGCGCCATGCGCGGATGGTGCCCGCCAACGAGCTCCAGCAGGCCGCGCGGCGTAGTCGTTCGGCAGATCCGAGCCCCCCCATGCTCAATGGGAGTCGGGCACGGCGGTATAGCCATCACCGCCCGCTACCAACATTGCCAAGCATCACAGGATGGGCGTCGGGTTTGGCAGCGATGTCTGCGGTGTCGGCCGGCGGCAAGGTTCGCAGCAGATGCCGTAGCTAGGCCGTAGCTGCTGACGCGGACCATTCTCGGCTGACGTAAAAAGGCGTGTGGAAAAAAAAAAAGTGCTGCGGGGTGCTGCGCAGTGTAACCGCAGTAGCCATGCGGATTGCATTTTATGTATGCGCGGGATCCGTAGCAACTCGCGGTCTTGCTCCTGTAGTCGCTGGGCGAGGTTCGCGGCGATGAAGTCGGCTGCCAGTACAAGGCTGCCCAAGACCACCGCGCCCTGCTGAACAGCAGGAGGGGCCCAGTTCCCTGGGGGAAGCTCATCAAGGAGTCCCGGTGGTTCCTCTCCTGCGCTGTTCCATGCATGCGTTGCACCTGGATGTTGGCATGTCGCGCCAGGGCGTCCCGCTGGCCCGCTGTCTGTTCGCGGGGTCCCGTGACGTCGTCCAGGAATGCATAGAAACTTTTTGATGGGTGAAGGCGGGCTCTGGCCTCGACTAGTGACTAAAGCTTGGTGTTGTCCCAAGGCGAACACAAACGGCATCAATGGGTCGCCTTGCTCTCCTCCTTCGCCTTGCTGCACGTGGTGCGCTATGCCGTCCTCGTCCTAGAATACGCAGGCGCCCGGCGAGCCGTAGAAAACCGCTGCATAGAGGAGGAGGCCGGCCAGCTCTGGCCGGTCCGCCAAGTTTCAGGCTGACAGCTAGCATGCTCTGCCGGGAGATGTGGTCGTAGGCGCCGAGCGCGCCGGAACTCTTCGTCATCTTCGTGGAGTTGCTGCGATCTTTTTTGTTTTTTTCTTTCAACGCGCCTTTTTCCGACTGCAGACAGTGGATCCCGGTCCTACCACCTACGGTTGCGGCGCAGCGCCGAAGGATGCGCGCGGCCCGCTAGCGTGGGGGCAAGCGGCTGGCGAGGACATCCTCCTGCCACCGAGCATCAGCCAGGACCTCATGTAGGCACGGTGCGGCACGGGAGTCATGGCGCCACTCCTCGGTAGGGGCTTGCCGCAGGTCACCCGCTGCCGCATGAAGAAGGGGCACGTACAGCCGAGAATTAGTGGGGCCTTCCGCCTCCGATGGTGGGCCACGGCAATGCCAGTCGACTGAAACCTCCGCAGGGGCGTCCACCACATCAGCAGAGGGTGGCGCCTGTGGCTGATCCACTTGAGGGATTGGCGTGGGCGCTTGGCGCGCCTGTGCCGCCGGACATGCGACCGTACACACACTGTGGGCGGTACGCATCTGGCGGTCGACTACCCATGTGATGATGTTGCCGCAATGTGCGCAGGGATTACCAGCCTCGTCGGGTACATGCAATTCGTGCAGCTCCGCCGTGCTGGCACAGCGGGGGCATAGCCAGCAAGGGCGCCACGCCGCAATGCCACGGTCGTTGCGGATGGGTACCGGCGCGTCCGAGACTACTCCGCGCGAGACTACACGCCGCACAGAGGCAGCCGGCTCGGCCCCGCGGCCTCTGCGAGGTCGAGGATGCGGTCGAGCTCCGGTCCTTGGCTTTGGGTCGCGTGGGGCGGTGCAGGCCAGGCCGACCCAAACGCCGTGCTTGTCACCGCTTGCTGCACGGAGACCGAGAGCACAGCCCACCAGCGCCGCGCCCAGGCCGAGGCGGCTGCGGCACGCACCACGGGCGGCGAGCGCTGAGCGCGGACGCGAACAAGGTCGCGAACCAGCTGCTGTGCTCCAGCGTTCCACCGTCCCCCGACTTCGGACCCAAGAACGAGGAGCTTTTGCGGCCCTCCAGCACTCAGCTCGGGGTACGCAGTGTGCTTGCGTCGCTCAACGACCCGCAACAGCTCCGTCATGCGCCGCTGCGCACGGTTGAGGGAGGCCCGTGCGTGTCACTGGCGAAACGAGGGTCGCATCGCAACACAGGGCCCCGCCGAGCGGCGTCGCGCCGTAAATCACGAGATCCAGGCGGCGGCGATCGTCTGCAGGGACGCCCGGCGCAGTGGTGTGTGCGAGTCGTTGCTGGGGGACCACCTGCCCCTCGGGGCCGGCTGCCTCCCGGGCCACGCGCACCCATGTTCGTTCTAGGATTTTCGCCCCTGCGGGCCAGCAAGCCGGTGCGCGGACATGCCAACGCATGGTCGCCGTAGGCATCCACGTCTGCTCCGCAGCCGGGCGGGCCACAGCAGCTGCGGCAGAGAGGAAAGGGGAGACGCAAACGGCGGCGCAGGGCCAGCTGCATGTTTTGGGGCCACAGAGTGGTGGCGGGCTCGCTTGGTATGGCGGTCAGCCGTGCTCCTGCTTGCGGACCAGCTTGTGATCGGAGGAGGGCGCAGGCGGCCGGCGGCAGGGAAGGCGGCAAAATGCGTTCGCGAAAATATTGGTTGCGAGTGCGCGATGCATAATGTTGCCAGCCATGCGGCCAGTCGCTTAGGGCCAGGCCTTCGTCTTTTGGTCGAGGTGGGCCCCTGAGGACTTCGTCCCAAGAAGGAAATTCGCTCCAACCTCCATTTTGCAAACGAATGCGTGCCTCCGCCGCTCCCTTGAGACCGGGGGCGGGATCCCCGCCCATGGCGAGTAGCGTGCGCAGGTATCAGTGGAAGCCGGAGTGTGGGCTTGGAGCACAAGCGTCAGCCCAAGCAGCACAGTAGGCGGCTGGCGCTGTCCGCGCTGCAGAGACCAGGCCCAGGCCACCCAAAGCAGCCGGAAGGGTTGCCAAGCTTTTCGTGCCTTGAACGTCGTCTGGGGGAACGCCGCCGAGGCAAAGCTGCAACGTCTCCCAGATCGCGTCATCGTGCGCCTGGGCATGCGGGGCGACCGTAAGTGGAGGCACGGTGCGGAGAGCGTGGTTCGCCCGCGGCGAAGCACACATCGTGAGGAGGAGCCACGCGCACTGCAAGTCCGCCAGTTTAGGCAGCTGGCACAAGAGCTCCCACTCCGTCTGCAGCCGTTTGTTCCGCCCACGATGCGACGAACTGCGCATGGACGATTGGGGTGCCGAGCACCAGGAGCCCTCGTTCAGCCGGAGGCTTGTCCCCTCGCCATACATCCCATGCCGGGAGGGGGGGGGGCCACCAGCCCAGCTGTACGCGCGCGTCTTGCCCTCATTGGCAGCGATGCCGCATTCCTCCTGCACGATCTCGACCACAGTGTCGCGAGCGGCACGTGCCCCGTCCCGTGTAGTCAGCACATACAGGTCGTTAAGGAATGCGAGTAATCGGTCGGACGGATGGAGGGACGCTCCACCCACGTCTCGCGCAGGTCACTGTTGCCGCTGCGCGGACCGCCGGCGGGGCGCGCTAGGCCTTTGTGGCATCGATGTGAGAAAGATGCAAAACAAGCGCGCACTTGTCGCTGGCAAGGGCAGCACAATGCTGCCAGCCTCGTAAAGATTCCCCAAACTCACAAATTATCGCATCGCAGCATCGAGCGCCGCCGTTTGTCATGGCACCGTACACGACCATGTCCAAGGGTCAGCGATCGTCCGATCGGACGCCCGGGGCCATCGTGTGGGCGAGCCACGGGCCCGGATTCATGGCCCGGGCGTGCCCTGGTGCCGTGTGGCCGACGGCTTGCTGGACGGCCCGGAAAGCACGCTCCACACCACGTTCCATCAGCGGCGGGCCCACGCAGCTTTTGCTGGGGCTCACACAGCTTCTGTGCGCGCGGAGGGCGACAAGGCGCCTGACCAGCCGTACTGCGTCGGTGTTCCACCGCTCACCCACCTCGCAACCGAGCACGCACAGGGCTTGCCGCCTCCTGCAGCGAGCTCGGGGTAGGTGGCGTGCATGCGCGATGTTGGGCGGGTAGGCGGTGCGCAGGACTGCTCCATCCTGTGTGGCCGCGCCGGGGTGGGGCTCGCCGTCTCACGTTAAAGGCGAGACGAAGGTCGCAGGCCAAGGCGCCGGCGATCGTCAGGCGCGACACCCGGTGCGGTGGTGTTGACGAGCCATAAGGGCACCTGTCCCTCAGGTCCAACAGCTTCCTGGGCAACCTTGCACCGCTCGTGGCAGGCCAGTCCGGGGGCACGCGAGATCCGGCGGCAAGTGGTCCAGCAATCGACGCTCGGTGCGCAGACGCTCCTCTGCCCAGGCGCTTGTGAACTCGGCGATGTGCGAGCCTAGAACGACTATACCCCGCTCAGACAGTGGCTTGTCGATGCGCCACACACATCGCCGCCCAGCTCGGCGATGCGCGGCGGGCCGACCGCCGCAGTGATAACGCGGGTTTTGCCGAAATTGGAAGCTGTGCCGCATGGTGCTGTACCATCTCTACGGTCGTGTGGCACGGCCCGGAGTTTTGAGGACGTACAAGTCGTCCAGAAAAACCATGCACTGAGGCTGTCGTTGGCGTGCAGCGCGGCGGCAGCTCGGCGCGCTGCCCAAAGGCAAACAGGGCTGGCGCCAGTGCATCCCCCCGCTCGCAGCCTTCGCCTTGCCTGATGTCGCGGAACCGGCCTGTCACGTCCCACCAGCAGTAAGTGGAAGGACGACCGTAAAACATGCGGGCGAAGGGCAACAGCTCCGGGGCCACCTCGCGTATAGTTTCGATAGGAACGCCGCACAGGACATGCAGTCATAATTAGGCACTGCGCCCATCCAATGATACGACGGCGTCATCGTGTCTGGCCGCGATTGCTGCGCGGACATGTGCCGCGAGGGCATCAGTGCCCGCCTGCGCTTGTAGAGCAAGCTGGAATGGTCGCGTAGCCTGCTCGAAGGTCGTTGCCCACTCCTTCGCGAGCGTGCAGGAAACCAAGCGGCGGAAAGAGTCGCCCGTCGATATCCCTGGCACACCCCCGTCTGCTTTGCGCAGCGCAGTGATGCGTGACATGGCTAAGGCCCGTGACACGTTCTCGGGAACTTGCGCCTGCGCCTACCGTGTGGCCGTCAAGAGCACATGCTGGAGTATGAGTTTCAAATGTTCGGCCCGCATGCCCGACAACCCGGGCGCGGCTCCCCTGCGAGTCTGTCGCAAAGCCGAAGCTACAGCGCGTGTGCTAAGCTGTGGAGCTGAGCCGGTTGAAGCTGGAGCACCTCTTCGGGGATGGCTGCTCGGGGTTCGGCGGGCCGGCGCGCGGGGTCGGTCAGCGCGCTCCAGGTAGCTTCATCGCCTGGGGCGATGTCGGCCGCTGTAAGGACATTCCGTGCCCGCGAAAGCTCGCCTCGGCGGAGTTTAGTGCAGGCTACACTGCGTTTGCGCTCGATTTCCTCGTCGAGGGGGAGGGCGTCGGAGTCGCTCCGAGCGAAGATAGCCCGTTTTTGACTGATTGGAGGAGTGCCTGCCACTCCCCACGTTGGAACGCCTTTGCCCGGCCCAGCAGTTGGCCCGTCCCTGCGCCCCTTGCTGCGTGGTGTGAGGAACATGCGTGGAACGAGCAGAAACATGCAGCTTCCAAGCTTGCGAGCGCACAAGTCGATGCGGGATGACCTCGATGTTCATGTCAGAAACCCGAACGTTCCGCGCTGTCCGTGCTCCGGCCACGACCACGACATGCGCGAGCAACAGCATACTCAAGCGGCGGAGCCCGAGCAAGGAAACCGCACGTGGCACAAACCCACTCACAAACCCAACTGCGGTCACCGAACTGGCGTCCTCGGCAGGAATGGCAGGAGCCCGTGCGCGGGGCGCAAGGAGTCCCGGGATCAGGGGTGCAAAATGTTGTAAACTTGCTGGTCTCGATCGGCGAGTACGTTGGGTTCCTTCGGCACCTTACATCCCGCGAGACACCAGCGCGGCTGCACCCAGCTCTTCAACGTGCCTGCCTCCACCGATGAGCGGGCATGCTTGCTGTGGCAGTGCAACGTGCGAGTTCGCTTACTCCTTGCTCGAGCTGCCGTTGGATGGAACGGACGAGTGCCCCGGCTTTATAGCCGCACTCATCGATGCACGGCCACAAACGTCTAGAGTCTAGCCAAGTGTCACCAATCCGCCGACGGCCACGAACACGTGGCTGGGTGGCACACGTGGTCTCTTGTCGAACTGGCATGACAACTTGCTTTCTGCACCCAAGAGCCCAGAAACACGCCAACTCTCCCAATGGGATGATGGCGAACATGCTGAAGGTCTGTTTTTTCCCCTCTCGCACCGCCACAGCGCGAGGCTATGCTACAGAGCACCCTGCCCACTAAAAACAACAGGAAGCAGAAAGTGCACACGTCCTCCTAGTAGCGGCAATGCAGAGTTTCCTGAAACGCATTGTTGGATGTGTTTGGGAACGAGTTTTCTACGCGGTACAGTGACGAATCAGCTTGACAAATTGTTTTATTCCTCATGTACTGGCATGTCCTTGCAAATCGATGTGCCTGGTGATGCGGAAGATGGCCCCCCGCAAGTTACGCACATGCTCTGCAAAATCGGGATCGTCAGTGCCGTAGGACGGCAAACATGGGGCAACAGAGGCAGGGACGTCATGAACAATGACAGCGCCAAGCATCCAAACAAGCGTTCCCCTCCAAAAAAGCGTCCCTCGGGCGACGCATTCCACATGCAACGCAGGAAGGACTGCATGGTGAATCCCGTTGCTACAACAACAGGGTGCGAATGTGCAGACGGATCGAGAGCCCGGTGACTCCGGGCAGAGCGGTTCAGGGCTTGGGGTCTCGGGGTTCGAGCTCTCACCTCAGATCTGAACACGGGAGAGAACGACGGAAGCTCAACATCCCCACGGCTTTCTATTGCTTTTCAAGGTCTGAAACTGTGCGCCGGAAGGTCAACCTGCATAAGAAATGGTGTCAAGCAAAAGGCCGAGGTCGTGTAACTGCCGAACTGTTCAGAACTCAGAACCTATTTCCGCAAAGCGCTGTGCCAACATGCCCACAGGCTGGGCATCATGTACTTTAATCACAGGCCCATGGAGATCGATAAGTACAAGCGCGTTAACTGTCAAGATGCATTGTTGCCTACTCCAGCGCAGTGGTGCATCCAAAACTTTGATCATACATCCTTGGCCGTTCCCGTATGACACAGAACTTGTTGAAAGTGAGCAGCCATCATGCATTTTCGCGCTCTTGCACCGTCTGCTCTGCTCTGAAGCTCTATCATCGCAACGGTGATGAACTGCTTAACTAAGACCTACAAGGGGGATCAAGGGGGCATCTCCACATCCAGAAAGTTGCCACCCGGGAACCGGAAGGAGCACTGTAAAGCTGTATCGATGGATGCGAGATTCGGCTAGCCTCCTTCCGAGTCGTTAGCCGCTAGCAGCCGCTAGCAGTGCAGGAACTGGTTGATGATTGAAATTTGCACTCCCAGAATCACGAAGCGCAAGCTCAGCGTGCAGCAAATGCTATCTGGACGGCCTGTCCATGAGAACTCATGTACCCTGTGCCCAAAAACTAAGCCATCCTATGAACAAGTGCCCGAGCATGGTATCCAGCTTTCGTCGCATGGCACAGTTTAAAACGGTACATGCTTCTACTATGACGTCCAGCTGACTTATTGAAGAACGGCGAGCAAAGCCATTGCCACCAGTCGAGCAAGCTGTACAGGAGTAGCTTGCCACTGACAAGGTCTCGTCTCGTTGGATCCAGCCACACCCGACCTTGGGAAGCTCTTCCATGATGGGCTGGAAGTCGTACTCAATGGACATGAGCGCCTCCGACAAGGCAACGTCACATCAAGCATGGCTTTTCGATGGGTGCCTCTACGTGTCTTGCAGGACTCCCGACTATTCCCAGCTGTAGTGACCCTCAATGCACAGTGACTCTGACATGAGTTTCTACACGCATCATCTGAGGCAGAGTTCTCACCCGAAGATGTCACACCCGTCAGCAGCAGCACAACGACACGTCGAGAGCGCAGCTGTACCTCCAAAACCTTTTCAAAAGCTGGGACCTTGCATTCTTTGAGATTCCAGACTCCACTAGAAATTGCTCTGACGGCCCACCCACTCGTCAACTCCAGACCAAGTTTTCACCATGAGGCGTCGAGGCGAAGCTTAGCTCACTCACGCATTCACCAACCTCCCGACCTCGCTGGCATTGACTCCGGCCGGACCACTCTTCAGCAGTTCCTAAAAGGCGTGGCGGGATAGGGAAACGACATGTGCATGTTGCAAGGACCGACATCTTAACGGGCAGATCAGAAACATGAAGCCATGTACCGTTTCGAAAACGGCATACGGATTTCACGGAGCGGGCCAAGACAGCATGATTCAAGGTGGGAGCCTCAGAAAGTGGACGTGTTCAGGACTATGGGATGGGGACAAACCTGCAAGTTCTTCTACGAGGGCTTAAGGCTTAAGGTACCCCTCTCCGGCCCAAGGGCCTTTTGCAAGCATACTTTAGGGTTTAGGGTTTAGGGTTTAGGGTTTACGGTGAACTGCAGCCTCGTTCAACCACCTCGCAGACCGCACGTGGCAGATGGTGTTGGCCTCCCTGAGGACAGGGCGGCGAGCACTGGACCGAGATGGGGGTTTCCGAAAATAGGGGGTACCTTGTTTTGGGGTCCTTGTAATAGGGATCCTAGGGTCCCCTATTTTCGGAGACGCCCAGATCCTCAATTTCCAACATGCTTGAAATTCAGGGTCTTATTGGGTTTGTGATGTAAAATAAAACATTGAAATTCAGGGTCTGATCGAGTTTTTGATTTAAAATAAAACATCCAATCCCCATTTGTGGGTAAATATTGGCTAACAGATTTCTAAATAGTCTCCAGCTTGAGGGGGGGGGGGGGGGGGGGG